TTTTTGCTGAACATGCAAGTTACGCACATTACGCTAGACTAGATATACTTGAAAAATCTCCGGGATTTCAAGCAAAGTCCTTGTATTCTAGGATAAATGACCTTCAAATGAAAACTTGACCAGAATTTGCCTTAGATTTAGAGAGATGTAAAAGGATGTAGAAGATGTAATAATAGATTGCAAGCAAATAATAATTGCCAGTAAATGCTGCTGATAGCTCAGAACAATACGAAATGACGGAAATATGCCCATTGTGATGTTTGACCAGCTGACCAAATGCATCATTCCACTGCACTGGCAACGCATTTTCAATGCACTGTAGCAAACGTTAGTTTCTGTTTGATATTGTGAATCCACACATAAAAAACTTTATCTACAACAGAGTTTCGAAATATCACAGAGAATGAGAAAATATGTAATACTAGGGCATCCTAACGTAATGTGATCCTATGAAAAAATGCAAGATTTAGAATGACTTGTAGGGATTCATTATGCCATTTGGGTCAAAGACCGACTTGATTCGACGGACAATGTCTCGCTCGGCTGGCGATTTGCCAAGATTCGCATACGGTAGCTTCATTCGGCCGATACCGTGTTCAGCAGAGATGGAGCCATCATGTGCATTCACCCATTCATAGATGAATGGATAGAGCCTAGAATTGATTCAGTAACCGTGAAAAGGTACTTTTGCAGGCAAAGACTATTGATGATCAATAAACTTTGTGACATCATTTACGCAGAAAATGACAAAAGGAGCGCAAAAATAGTTAAGATCAACCATAGTTGACGGACTGATTTCGAAAAGTGACCGTGTTCTCAAACCCAAAAGAGTCGTTTCTCCACCCAATTTTGTGCACAATTTTTTTACTCTTATTATTTTCCTGCATTCTTGTCAGTTGCTCCGAAGAGCTTACCTATCGTATAAATCCTTGCTGTACTCCTTAGCGGTGATGTTCAAGTGACTATTTCCATCGCCCAAATGACCATACGTGACGATTCTTTTCGTCATAGACGAACATCTGCTTCTGATCTCCTAAACTGACAAGGGGTTATGCCACGAGAACGCATCTAAAATTTTCTGCTCGCTCAACTCAAGACAATTCTCGTGAATATTGATGCAGTACCTCTACGTTTGAGAAAAAACTAGAATTCGCTGAATTTTGCCGAAATTCGGATCGCGTCGCAAATTCTGAGTTCAAAGATGATTTCTGAATCAAGGGCACCATACAAGTCATTTCAACGAGGAGGATCATACGGTGTATCGAAGCTGCTGCCTTACGGTAGATATAGGGTAGGTCACTTTCAACAGCTGACGTATGTACGCAGGTTGTGATCAGCTTACTTACATTAGTGATTTACCCTAAGCCAGAATTGAAATTTCACGTGACCTGAGGGAAAACTTGCCACCCGCCACATACCTATCGTAATCAAACATTCTATATATCAGATTCTCTATATCAGAAGATGCGGCTCATCGAGCTGAGTTCAATTTTGCATTTGAATTTAGAACCCGTCTGCTCAACCGAAGGAGTGCAACGCGAATTCGGCGAACTTCTGCGATGTCCGCGTTTTCTTCTCAAAAATAGTGTATAGTAAATTGGATTACAGTATTTGTAGACCCACCTCCGTCAATCGATAAAAATGCTTCAGAGGCAAAGAAACGTCATTTTTGAACGCGTAACCATCGGCAGCCACAGCCAATGGAGCGCTTTCACGTATCCGCCACATCATCGATGATTCAGTCGCTGATTGAGCCTGTGTATGAAGTTTTTGTTAGCATTCTTTCTGACAATGAGAATAACATGTGATACATAAAATTCTAGTTTCTTTTGCGTGAGCTCATTGTTCACATTCAGATAAGATAAATGATATAATGCACATACAACATTGATTTACACAATTATCATCAAT